TTTAACAGCCATACTTTGAGGCCTATACTAATCTGGCCAGAGGGATTTAAAGGACAGTTTTTGCCCCTTACCCTCCAAGGTCAGCTAAGTTCCAGGGGACTATGGAACATCTCTCAAAATATCCTGTTACTGTGATGAGTCACCTGTCTTCCTGTTTAGGGAGGACACGGAGGCCCCACCAGATGGACTTGAACCAGTGTCCAGTCTACAAAGAGGAGGATCAACTCAGAGGAAACATCTCATCCTTGCTTCCAAGTGAAGCCAGACATGGTCGAGCAGGACCTTTGACTTATCTTCACATAGATGGAACTGGTTAAAAAAAAAAAAAGGAGACAGGAGCTCCTCCCAAGCCCATGTAACCCCTGAGGAACAGATCCTCAAAAGACCTTAAGTGTAAATATAAATTGATTTATTTGGGCCAACTGTATGGTCTTAAGCACCAAAAAGGAAAGTATAACCGAGGAGTAAAGTGCTAGACAATTATTTCTCATTGATGATTTTGTTCTGAATCAGAAATTGCTGCTCAGATGTAAGACTTCAAATCCTTGTCTTCAATACTGTAGTGCCCACCTGTAGCTAAGGGAGACAACCACTATTGTTCTAAAATGATGGATAAATTTGCTTTCTCCCCTTATCTAGAAGCCTTTGAGAGGGAACTGATACTGATTCTAACCACTCTAACCACTCAAAATGCCTGAAAGCAAATCCTGAATCCATCACTCTCGAGTCCAGCTTTGGCAGACAAAAGAAAAATGAGGAGGAACCCAATAGGGGGATGCTTTTGGAAGCCCTTGTCAAGAAATTCCAATGGACTCTCATATGAACATTTGAAATTTGCCCTGTTCTGACTTTTTTCTAGTTCCTTGTCTAGACCTTGTAATACTAATTATTCTTGCCTTTATTTCTCCTTCACATCTCCTATTCACCAGTCAAGGACTTTCTTTTCCCCCTACAGATAAGAGTATTACAATTTGGGAATCTTCTAGATAGACCCACTGAAGGGGTACCCCAGTTGCCTCACCCTGTGTCCCTGTTCAGCATGGAAGAAACCAGAGTGGTCTGTGTCCCGATTTCCTATCCACATGCTGGGTAACCTCTTCAGAGGATGGTGTGATAAGAATAGGAGGTAGGAACTGGCTAGGCAGTTAGGGTAAAAAGACCCCAAAGAAAAGCAGCCAGTTTCTTGGCTAAAAGTCAAAGTGTTCTTGAGCCTCTTAACAACATACTCTGTTCCAAAGGCCAAAAATATCAAAAGTATCTGGGAGCTCTTATCTAATCCCTAAAAGATTTTAGGGTTACCTGTTCAGAGGGGGGAGTGTTAGAGTAGCAAAAAGCCCCATAAAAAAGAAAGGAGAAAAAAGAGTACATGAAGTTATCAGAAAAAAGTGATGGGGAGATATGGGAGGAGTTGGAGGGGAGGGAGTGGGCATGGATTTGATCAAAACACCTTATACGCTTACATGCCTGTATGAAATTCTCAATAAATTATTTTTAAAAAATTAAAAAACAAAAAACTAATAAAACATTTTTAAAAGAATGAAAAAAAAATGTTTACGGGGCCTCCTTTACTTGGGCTCTTGGCCACGGGTCTGATATGCAAAGAGGGATACACTAGAGTGTTTTCTTAAGAAACTCTCATGCTACCTGGGAAAGAAACTCCTTCAGTTTTAAGCAGACACTGTGACAGATACACTATGTGCAGTGTGTGGAGCATCTAGAACAGAGAATTTCTAGGGGGAGCTTGTATATTGGTAAGGCTTATCTAAGTTGTGTGGTCTCAGAGTCTGTAATTGCAACTTTAAATATGTTACTTATATTAAAATGTTTTAAGATCTTCTAGATCCACATTTCAATGATACCTAAAGATTAAGAATAGGAGACCTGGAGGCAAGTAGAATTGAATTTCAAATCAGGGATTCTGTTCTGTCTTCCAGCAGAAAGATTTAGGTAAATCATTTACTCTCCCAGGCCCCAAAAGAATGTGCAAATGCTAGGATTAACTAATGGGATGGATGCAACCTTTCATGGTGATATAGGCGTGCAGTAGGTATTTAAGTGTACCTTTCTCTAGATAGTTATAATTTTTTGTTATCAGTTGTAACAAGAAACTTGTTTACATTAAGCTTTGTATACAAGAAGTCATAAATGAAGTTAAAAATCAAAATAAAGAAAATTTACTGTAGTAAAAAATAAATGGATGTGCACTAGGGGAGTAAAGGCTCAGCTAGACTGCATGAGTTTTCTGATGAAGGGAAGATGACTTAGGTTTTCATTAAATTGGAATCTGTAAAGGTCACTGTAAGCTTTGTAAGATCATTGGACTTGTGTCTGGTCAGATCAAGAGATAATATTTACCACTCTGGTATTTCTCAAACCCTGCAAAGTATTGTTAGTACTCTAACTGTTGCTCCTTCTGGCAGGTATGTGGCAATCTCTCTCCTGTCAGCAAAATCTCTAAAGCCTAGGAAAGAAATCTTTCTTTCTTTCTTTCTTTCTTTCTTTCTTTCTTTCTTTCTTTCTTTCTTTCTTTCTTTCGCATCATCTGCAGCCATTTTTACTTTTTATTTATCTTCACACATCACACAATTACTTTTGTGGTGCTGATGATCCAAAACAGGGCCTTGCACATCCTAGGCGAGTGCTTTACTAACTGAACTGTATCCTTCAGTCCCTGGTTTTTAAAGATATGATTTTTTTTTTTTTTTTTTTGTATCAAGACTTTATCATTGAGGCAGGGTCTCCCTCTAGCCCCAGCTGACCTGGAACTCACTATGTAGATCAGGCTGACCTCATTTTCACAGAGATCTGCCTGCCTCTGTCTGGTGGATTAAAGGCATGCACCATCATACCCAGCTTTTAAACATTATAAAATGACAGCACAAATATTTCTTTAAAAACATGTATAAATTATCAATTTATTGAGGTAAGCTTATACATTCCAAGAGATAATCTGGCTCTGAACAGCATAGTCAAATTAAATAGATTTTTATATTATCATTTCAAAACCATTACATAGAATATTTCAAGTGACCCTTCATAAAAATTATAAATAGCAATCATATAAATTAACTTAAAATTTACATATTTAAATTATCAATAAATTAAAAATAATTAAAATAGTGTCCTAACGTTCATACGGTCAGTTCTTCGTAGAGAACAATATCAGGTAGGTACCCAGTGACAGGATATGTTTTCTGACCATAAGAAGGAATGCCCATGAACTGATAATCTTAGAAGCAGCATATTAGTTTTCCCGAATAGCCCTTATGGTGGTCGTTAGGAAATTCTCAAGTTGCCGCAGGATGAAGTGGATGGCCATGGTCTTGTGCCACTCGTTCTGTGTATCCAGCTTTTCCAGCAGGCTGGCATTGGCAGTTGGGCTAGGGAAGATGACTTTACTCAGATTTTTTATCTAAAGGGAAAAGAAAAAGAGATTTCAAATATTGCACAAATTCTTTGTAGTAGAGTTTTCTGGGCTGTGGGAAGAGGTTCAAATTTGGGATGAATGAGACTAATTGGGTCCATCTATCTTGACTGGTCCTAGTTAGGGGAGGTGCTTTTGCTCCAAGCTCACCCTAAGAGAGACCCTTGCAGAGCAACTGAATTCCTTTTCTAAGGTGATTATTATTAGTTTTTCAGTAGCCACTGAATTTAACCACCCTCAGTGCTCTGCCTCCCATTACGGAGTAGACATCCAGAGATCAGCACTGCCATCTTATTTGTCTCCCCTTTGTTATTTAAAACAATGCTGACACACAGTATAACTAGTAGATGACCGAAGAAACCATCGCAATTTAATGGATTCTACATTGAGTCTTTCCCTCTCACTGGCCATTCAGATTCCACGGAGAGTCTATTGGTCTGGTGGTGTCAAGAATTCTAGAAACACCTTTCCATAGACCCACCAACAAGGGGCTAAGTAACTATGGAAGGCTTGCACCTCTAATTGTGGGCCTGAAGTTCTGCAGCATTGACATAACCAGGGAACTGTTTTAAAAAAAGTGAATCTTAGTCCCCTTCCCAAACCTGCTAAATCAGTGGACTGACACCCCTACGTGACTCCTGTGCACATTAAAGTATGAAAAGCTCTGGTCTAAGGCAAGCAACTGCAAACCGCAGGAGTAGCATCAAGGATTCATTCCAGGCCTGATTGCATTTGGCTCGGTTCATCCACACTCTGAGCCAAACCTTTCATTATCTACTATTTAATGGCTAGTTGTGGCCTTTCTAGTCTTTAGCCTTTGGCCACTTCTCTGTAACAAGAATGTTACTTGTTAGAGATAAAAGTGTTCATTTTTGTGCTCTGTGCTCTTTAATAATGCTCTTTGGGCAGGGTTGGATATGCTTCCTTGTCTGTTATAGATATATTTTTCTTATCTCTTAAGCTAGAACTCAATATTAAAAATCCATGCCATTCAATATAAGCTTTAAGCAGTTATCGATGTTCTTTGCAGAAGAGAGCAAAAACTCTAAAACCAAAATGAAACAAAGCAGGTTTTCCAATCAGGAACTATTTCTGAGACAGCCTTCCCTTTCAAAATAGCGCAGCAGTCCTGAGCTGTCAGGTGCTTTGCCTGAGCCTCTCTTCCCCATACTGCATGAGACATAGGGAAGTACTCACCTCTTGTTTCAAGATCCGAATTAGGGTCTTGACATTGGCCTGCACGTTTTTGACTTTTTCTTGCCGAGTATCTTTCAACTTGCCCTGGATGTACTCCAGGTAGACCTGGTACTCCAGAAGACCAGAGGTGACTTTCAACAGGCAAGTTTCCTATGAGCAGAAAGGGTGGGGAAATCAGTGACTTCTAGAAGACAGATTCCATGTGAGAATTTAAGATTCCTGCAATTCAGCATCTTCTCCCTCTGTCCCTCTAGAGAATTAGGCATCCTGTTTTAGGACACTAGACAGTATCAGCTGACCTACTTGAAATATCTGAACAACTAGCAGCATCACTGAATATTTTGCCCAAGGCTCAACAGAGGTTAGAGTGTGGCAGTGGGTTCCTTTTCTGACTGCCCCTCAATGCTCCTTAAGGGCTGCCCTGAGCTCTTCTGTTAAGGAAGAATCAGAAGTCCATCTAGGCTGTCTTACTGTCTGGAGGGAGAGGGCTATGAAGAGTGGTCTCAGCAGGGAGGGTAGGCCTGGATCCTGTCAGGGGCAGCCAGAGAGGAGAATGGTCCCTGAATCACTATAATCAGGACAAGCTAGCTACACTTGCTATGATTTCTAATAGTTGACAGATATGAAGGATCCCAATGTTGCAGGACTTCATGCTGCTTTTTATAAAAGCTTTAAGTCAGTTTCCTGATGAAATTTACACCATATTCTTTATATCTACCTCCTTTGCTGCCTGTCTGAGTCTGTATGTATACAGGTACTACATGCAAGAGAGAGAACTTTGGTTGAAGAATTGCTGAAAGTAAATGACAAGTTCATACCCGATTGTATCCAGTTTGGAAACATCCATCTTTTATTGTTAGCCTTGGAGGCTCCAGATTGTTTGCTAAAAAGGCCTCGTCATTGTTCAAGCAATTCTCATCATGATCACACAACTGGAAAAGAATACCAGAATTATCATTTAAGTGCCCCTAAAACAAACACCACTAGAGGGCCAATTGATCCTCTACCACAGCCAGGAAAGTCTAGAGGAAGGAAGTTACAACCCACTGACATTCTACTAAGCAGCCTGGTAGCATGGGGCACCGTCAGCCTCAGGCCGAGGCTCTCCTGTGACTTCAGGTGCGTTACTCTCCTGAGTCTCAGAGTCCTTATCTTCAAGTCTGGAATGGTTAAAACCTCTCTTATACATTTGTTTGGGTATCAGGTATAATATTTCTATAAATGCCTGGCATATCATAGGAACTTTATAAATGACAACAATTTTGATGATAAATTGAGCAAATAAATTTAAGTCACAGAATATTCTAGCTAGAAGGATCTGTGAGATGATCTGGTCAAACCTCATAATTTTGCAGATGAGAGTCAGAATGGTAGAGATTTTGTCCCAAATCATGAAGCTGGTTTAACACAAACAGTACTAGAGTCTAGGCTCCTCTCCCATTATGCCTTTCTTTCTATCAAACAGTCCAAACACTTTTCATTTAAAGATGGAAGATGCTTACATCTACTTAGGATTTTGCCACTTTCTTAGGCTCTATGAAGTATGCAACTCAGGTGGACTGACCCTGGAGAGTCATGACCACACAGATAACCTCGAGAAACAGACCATTCAATTCAAGTGGCACTTTCCAGTCCTCCCAGAGTTCAATGGATAGAATGAATGTTCAAGACCTTAGTCTTGGGTAAGTGAGAAGGAAGCCCTACCTAAGTAGCAATGATTAAATGTGGGACTGAGAATGGGTCATTGTGTATTTTCTAGAAATTCAGCCGCATTTTATATTTTCCAGAATGGGAAGGAGCCTCCCTAGACAGCAACAGAGAAGAAATACAGAACATGGTCTAGCCTGGCCCCTTAGCCTCACTTCTAAAGTACCTTGGAACCCAGCAGAGACCTCCCCATTCAGGAGTAAGGAGAATGAGCTCCCACACAGGGCCTTCAGCCTCTCAGCAGACTACCCACCTCAGTTCTTATTTCCGAGATTTCCCCGATGACATATGAAATCAGGCCTTCCATCTTTTGTGGAGTGGTATATGCTGGTCTGTTGGGGGTGGTATCATCTGTGCTAGCTTCTTCCCGGACTTGCGAGGCGGGGAAGGCAGTGGCCGTCACCAGGAGCAGCCCCAAGAAGGCAAGAGGATGGAGGGTTCCTGAGCAGAAGGAAGGAAAGCAGCAGTGAGCTGACAGCACAGCTGGGAGCCCGTGCTGGCTGCTGGCCAGCAGCTGCCCTGCCGGGTCACACACCTCCTCCCTCACACAGGCGCTCAGTAGCCCCACCAGAGGGCGAGGAATCTCCTTCACTTACTTGTGGAGAGGAACTTCATAGCTGTTACTGGAGGGCAGATAGAGTTCCCTTTCGTTCCTGGTGGGCTCGTGAGCAGAATGAACTACAGCCATCCCCAGTCTCATATTTATTGGGAGTTGAGTCTCTAATTTTGAGACTCATGGGAAAATCCCACATTGATAAAATCTTTGTTGGAGGTGGGGGTAGGGCCAGAGTAGGTGGGGCTGATTGGAAACCTTATTAAGATTGTGCAATGTGACGTCGTTAGCATCGAAAGAATCACAACTCGGGGGAAAAAGTGTGGCTTAACTCATCCTTGAGGCTAGCCCTAAGAAGTATGATCACTTTTTACTTTCTTCTTTTTTTTTTAGTGACTCAGCACTTTAGAATGTCTTGAGGGAAAAAAAAAGTAAGTTGAAATCCTGCACAATGTTTTATAAGGATAAAAAAGAGAAGCTAATGCTGACTGTGATTAAAAAAAACAAATAGCTGAAATACTAAGAGGCTAGAGTTTAGTATCTTAGCTTAATCATATTTGTAAAGAACCTACAATGTTCTGACTTGAATTTTTTCACATCACACCCCAGACTCCCAGCCTGGGGTTACACAGACAGTAACATGACCACTCATCTCAGTTTATTTCCTGGCTCTTGCCAGGACCAGCTATTGCTAAGCGGCTTGGTCACCTCCAAATTTTATGCAGTTGTTTCTAGGGGTCTCCAGGTGGAGCGAACTCAGTGCATGCACCAATTACTTCTTTTTGCCATGAAGGAGAACCTGCTAGTCTCCTCCTCTCCTGTCCCAGCTCATTATTCTCCTTTCTCCCTGGTGGTCTCTTGGGGATCCTTCTGGTAAGAACTTTGGTCTCTGTGTTCACAGAGTTGTCCTTATCTGCTGGTGCTGTTCCCATTGCTGCCTGAATGTTCCACCACACATTACGCTGTGAACCTGCTGCCCCAGTCACCCTAAGGAGTCTGGATGGTCCCTGGTCGGCTACAGTCCTCAAATTGTGAAGTTGACTTGGTTCAGGGTAGATGAAGGATAATGTTATCTATCAAAGACAGATCTCATGGTCTCTTAGCTTGTGGTTTTGGCTCCCTTTGGCTAGATGACTGGATTTGAATCTGAAAGTGTCATGGATTACTCTGACTAGCCTGTCAAATGAATGCCCAAGGTTTCCTTGCCTGAACAAAATTGAACAGACCCCTCTTCCCTTAGGTTGATTTCTCCTACAGGAGGGTCCTTGGTCTCCTGAATATGATGTTTAGACCAGGTGGCCCCACCTGTCTCCAGATATTCAGATAGAACTCTAGGCTGAAACTAGAATCTTTGTGCCTTACCCAAAATCATTTACAAAACACATTTTAACATCACAATCAGCTTTTCTGCTTTGCAAAGATCTCCTTAAGATTCCTAAAACAATGACCTTTGCTGGGACCCTTAAGGTGAATTTTCTTTCCTTTTATTTTGTATATAAAATGTTAAGACCCACCTGTTGAAAAAAGTGAGGTCATCTGTTCTTGGAGTATTTGAGGCAGCAGTCCTAGATGTAGTAGGGGTTTTCAGTTTGAAAATAAAAATAATAGGGGGAGGAAGGCTGGAGGGTTTCACTTTTAGTGTTCTTGGGCCTTCGAAAGGTAGCTGAGACAGCCGTGAGTTGAGTCTTGTCTTCTGCGCTGAATGTAGCCACTTCCCCAGCTCCCTTGTGGTATACTGCTGTAGGCCTCTGTCACATGGAGTTTTTCTCTCATTTACCTGCTTTTTAGAGAAGTGATTCAGTAATTTCAGATTGTTGAACTTAGTAGTACAATATAACATTCACATTTATCTTTTCAAAAAAAGTGCTTTTTAAATAGGAGGCATGCATCCATAACAAAATGTTCAAAACTTCAGGAAAAAGTAAGTCTGCTTTCTCTCCAAGCTCCCTGCCCACAGTAGTGCCAAATCCGGAGTATTTTTAGTGAAGCTCTTGTCAACCTAGTCTGGAAGAGATTTTCTCAGCTCCCAGGTGCTCACTTCTGTATTTACATTTTATATATATATATATATATATATATATACACACATATGTAAAATACTGTGTGTGTGTGTGTGTGTGTGTGTGTGTGTGTGCGTGCGTGTGTGCATATATACACTTTATACATCTGGAGACTGTTTATGCAGCTTTTTGGGGAGTGCATGTGGAGTTTATAGATCCTTGAATTGCAATTTGGGTTGAAAGCTCAACTCTGTCATTTGCTAGCTGTTTGACACTGGCTGTTCCTCCAAGAATCAGTGTTCTCGTTTATTCACTATATAACAACCAGAATAATAATAGTTTATTCCTTATAGGGCTGTTGTGAAGATGAATGAGATAGGATATTTTAAAAAATCCCTGGGCCTAGTAATCCCACAGGAAGCATTGACCTGTAATTTTCAAGAGCTGGATCTTGTGGCCCAGGAGCTCATCCCAGCATGGCTATTGGCTCACCTGGTGTCTTGCCTATGAAGTTCCTAGGAGAGAGCCAGCCACGGTGCCAGTGGTGAGTTGGTCTCTCAACCATTTCCCCTGAAGAAAAGAGATGGTAGGTTCTGTTGAAAATTCCTTATGGCACAGAGTGGAAAATGCAAAAAAATAAAAAAATTAACTTTTCTTTTTAGATTAGAGTCCTCAAGCTAAGTCCCTTGATCTAGAGAACTACCTGTGCCTTGCTCCTTTACCTTTTTCAGTGCCTTCTGCTAAGAGTTTTTTATGTCAGAAGTCACAGCCTTTGCATGGTTATCTTCATTCTTCAAGCTTCTGAGCGTGGTTCTCAAACACGGGGAGTCCTGACAAGCCCAGAGCTCGCGTTTCTGGCAGGCCGCAAACGCAGGAGTGCTGGGGCTGGAGGGCAGGACGGCTTGGTCTCGTCCCCTTGTGTGCCACCAAATAGATCTTTATTAGTCTCAGTGCCTTTGGTTGGCATTTGCTTGTGGGAGAAATGGACTCTTCCAGAACCAAAACGTTAGTGTTGTGACCCTTTTCCTACCATAATAGCATCCTTTCTTTTCATTTCAATGGGTTTTCCATTTGGAGAACTCATCCCTTGTGTGTGTGTGTGGGGGGGGGAGTGACTGCCAGCTAGGATCAAGAGAGGAATGACAGATGGGAGTATATGGGGAGGAAAAGAAGTTCTCTTCATTATCAACATGTAGTGCTGGCTGTGTCTACTTTCTTACATGGTGTTGGAATCTACTCAGAGTTCAGTAATACATTTGAGCTGAGAGGAAGAAAGGAATTTCCATTTGGTACTTAAAGGCTGCCAAAGGAGAAATGCTCTCCGCATCTTCAAGCTGTGACAATGTGCTCTTTGATTATTGTCTAGGGGGTTGGAGATTGGTAGCCCTATGATTTAACAAGAGGGAGTATCTCAAGGAAAAAAGAGAAGTCACTGGGCACTAGGAAACTTGCAATTGCTGTTACAATATAGTTTTATTTGTCACCAAGGCAGAGGAGATTTGCAAAGTGAAACAGTGGGTAATTTAACAGCTTCTTCTGGGATGGAGGTGCTGGAAATGGCTTGTGTTGGGAAAAGTATTGATATTACTTGGAGAGAGAATATCAGGAAGACATGGTATGCCAGGCTAACTGACCAAAGCTCTTGACAGCTGTCAGCCAAGTTCAGTCCAAGTTCTGGTCTTACACCTTTAGTTCTGATGTCCCATTATTGCTCCTGACAACTTCTTGGTCTGGCCTCAGATTTCCTGAGGGAAAAGGGGCAGTAGGGCTAGACCTAGCTCTCCTAAGGCCAGATGAAGGGCACATCTGCCCTGCTGTTTCATCTATCCTGTGCCTTCCTTTTTTTTGCTATGTGCTGAGTTATCTTCTACAAAAGTGGACTCTTCCAGGCCTCTCAAGGACAAGGAAGACTCCCTGCTTGGGATCCTGCTGTGCCTGCTTCTGTCTGGTTTCTGGACCTGCCAGAAAGAGAGTGTCCCGATTTCAACAGGTTGATAAGCTAGCTCCTCTGCAACTCGTTTGCTGATAAGAAATCACTTTGTGACCTTGGAAGCCACCCCAGGGCAGGGAGATCCCTCAGGCTGAGTTTGTGAGGTTTTTCTCTTCTCCATCTGTGGAATGGGTTTTCTGTATTTCTGGCTGCTGACTATGCTTCAAAATTAGGAAACTTCAACTCAGAGCAATCAATTAATTTATTCTCATGAGTCTTTGAAACCACCTTTGGTTTCTCCGAAGAACTCAGTTCTCTAAGCTCAGTGTCATGGGCAGAAACTAAGCATGTAAAGCACTGGCTGTTTCCCTCTACACTCTTCCCTCAAAGTTAAGGTCCTAGGTACCCATCCGAAAGTATCATATGTTATGTCAGGGCCAGGGAATTCTGTTGGCCTGCCTATGATGTATTTCACCTCCCTCCCATGCCCTTTTGAATAGTTATTTGCTAAAATGAGACTGTCTTAGTTCCCCTGAGTGAAGTCTCCTCTATATTTTTGCAAGCTGGATTCAAGAAGGTAGATAAGACTTTCTAAGCTTCAAAATGGAAAAATTTCCACAAAATGAATTTCTGAGATATGGGTCTTATTACTCCTGAAGCAAGGACCACTTGAGTTGATATAAAGTGTAACAGAAGAATTCAGATTCAGGTAAGCAGGTTAAAGAATTATAGGTGATTCCTTCACACCACTGAATTCTATGATCTCTCTCTCTCTCCCTCTCCCTCTGTCTCTGTCTCCCTCTCCCTCTCTTCTTTCTCTCCCTCCTTCTCGCTCTTTTCTCAGGTAGAATCATTGACCAACAGATACACCAAGGTCACAGCTCCCCAGGGTGCTGACTCCTCTTTGCTTGGTAGACTTAGATCTAAGTATCCATGAAGCATGGGGTATCTGTCTACTGTCACCATTCTGTGAGGTCTGCTGTTTCTCCTATGCTATTGGGTCTCCACAGTCTGTATGTCTGGGTGGCAGTATTGTGTTCCCTGAAGGTTCTTGTTGTATGACATCTAGATCTCTTACCCTGGAAGCCATGTTTCTTCTGTGTTGCTTTCCTATAGGTAAGATGTGGGTAGATGAGAGGCGGTGGCTGGAGAGAATGTATAACTTCTTTTACTAGTCAGCTTCAAAAAGGAATCACAATGCCTGGAAATGACTTCTGTTTCCAAAAGGTCTGTTTGGGGGCTTGGTGTCTAATTGCCTTAGTTAGGCTGCTAACTGTCTTAGATTCTACCATGTCTCCTGAACAACCAGCAGATATACTGTCATGTGTATTCCTTCTCTATGATTAATTAGTTCACTACAGGTTCAGGAAAGTTACTGGCTCTAGGTTTGTAGTCTGGGGAAGGTTGGCCTTAGAAGAAGACTCAAGCCCAGGGCTATTTCTGTCTGATATTATATAGCTGCTCTTTTTGGCTAGCTTGTGAAGGTCCCAGTGGCCTTACTGAATGAATTGGACTCCAGGATTTAGGATGAGGTTGCAAAAATTTTTGGCTGAATATAGGGTTTCCCTGAATTGGACTTTTTACAGCATTGCCAAATCCCTGATTTCTTGTCAGGAGTGCAGCTGTTGGCACTTGGGAACTTTGAAATGATGACTAACTGGAAGATGTAGGGGCAAGATAGTCTCCCATCTCAGAACTCCAGAAAGATAATCCCTGAATTCTTTCATTGCCTTGGTACTCTGTCCGTGTTCTGGGATTCCATACCTCTTCACTAGCCATGCCAAACAACCCAGAGTCTATTCCTAATGGAGTCATTCTGGCAGATGCCCTTAAAATTAAGAAAAGGTTATTGAAAGTCACAACCTCTGATGCTATCATCTAGTTCCCACCCAAAAAGCAGTTAGCAGACTTGCTTTGGCTGATTAGGGAGCTGTCCATTTTGACATGTCCAGGATCTTGGCTGCTTCAGGCAGAGTAATCTGATTCAGGAAAAGCCAGAAGGTCTTCATGAAGACGTGTTAGTGAAATGAGACAGCATATTTCTTATGGCACAAGTAGGAGTGCTATCAATATCAAAGTCAAATATTCTAGCTTAAAAAAAGAATTACACAAGTAATATTTTTTCAATGTGTAAAACTAAAAAAATAGAGAAAGGGAAAAAGAAATAAAAGTAAAAGTAATCTTATTCAGTTGTAATAATTGTTATCATCCTGTATACTATAATCATTCTGTTTCATTATATATGTTTCATATATATGCATATATCATTCCAAAATCAGAGTACTGGAAGCTTTTTCTCTTCCTCCCTCCCTGCCTCCCTCCTTCCCTCCCTTTCTCCTCCTCCTCCTTCTCCCCCCTCTCTCCCCCTCTCTCTTTTTCCTTCTTTCTTGTTTTTGAGGTACTGGGGATTGAACCTAGAGTTTTGAATGCTAGGTAAATACTCTACTTCTAAGTTATATCCCTATCCCTCTTTTTACTTTTACTTTTTAAACAGGGACTCAGTAAGTTCACCAGGCTGAACTTGAACTTAAAATTTTTTTTGTTGAGTTTTTGTGTATTTAATACATAAAATCATCTTTATACCCCCTTCCCCCTTCCCCTTTGGCACCCTCCCATAGTGAGGTGAACCCAATAGAGTTCCTACATTCTGTCATTTGTATTAAGGCCTATTATGTAAAGTTAGTGTCCTGAGATATCCCGAGATGTCCCTTAGTGCAAGTTCATCTACTGGGGTTTATTCAGCCTATCTAGAGTCTCTCCAAGGAGAGCTGCTCTTCCTTACCCAGTAGTAATCAGCTGCCAATAATTCTTTGACTAATATTGGGGCTTGCTGTTCATTTCCACAGTTCTGTGTTGGGTATTTTGTTTGCCTAAGTTTGCATGGGCCTTGTGCATGCTGACACCATTGCTGTAGGTTTATGTGAAAAGTGACCTTGAACTTTTGCTCCTCCTGCCTTAGCTTCCTGAATAGCTGGGATTATGAATTTGTACAATCAGTCCTGGTTATTTCTTTTCTTTCCCCTTCTTTCTTTTAAATACTTCTTTGCAGGCAAAACACTCTGGCTAATTCTCCGAATATAGGGGAACTGTTAGAATTCAGAAGGAAAACATCAAGCAAAGTTTATAGATGCACAATGTTGAAAATAATCACTGGATTTCCTTGGGGATGAACTTATTAGTTGTTCATAGAATAATATAATCTCTAAACCATTAAGTTGTGCTGATTGTTAGGCATTATGAAGCTTTTGCAGCTTGATTTGAAGTTTGCTTATCAGCTGGCCCAGTACACAGCCAGGCCCTGGCTGGACTCACAGTGAATAGCCCTTGCTCTTCACTGGTGGTAGGTGTTTGGGAAGTTGCCACAGGCAGAGATGATCTCATGGCTCTTCATTTCATGGGGCTTGTTACCTCCAGTATTTTTAAATTCTTTTTTTGGAACCGGTTTCACAAAGCAATAAATGGATAAGGAGTTTGATTTAGGAATTTGCTATAGAGGTGGTTCTCTCTTTTCTACTCCAGACCTGGTTATGTCTCCCTAGGGGACTACTTACCTAATGCGATAGTGTTCCTTGTACAAGAGAAACTGTATTTCTAAAAGGAGATGAGGTAAGATCCACTACAAAGCAAACAAGCAGATATCCTCCCTGATGATCAGGAAGGTGATGTAGACAAGAGGCAGACAGCCATGACTCTCTTAGGATTCAGATGTTGAAATGGGTAGGCACTGGGTATTTCAGCAAAAATTTCTTTTCTAGATCTCTTTTAAAAAATACAGCCATGGTTCTTCCAGCTCTGTTAGGGAAGCAGGACTGCCCTTCGTCTTCCTGAAGGTGCTCGGAGGGCCGGCGAGGTTCCAGTGTGACATGGAGCGTGTTGCCGAGGAGCCCGAGGTTAAGAACAGAAAGAAGATGCACCTGGACTTTCCCTGGAGCCCTCTGCGATTTTTGGGGGTTCTTTGGCTGTGAGCCACCCTTGCTTACTGAAAGTAGAAGTCACTCCTCCCCTCCTCAGAAGAAAACTTGTTACTTTCCGTAAGTGTCTACTGGTGAAGGCATCCCTCCCTGGTGGTTCTTTAAGCCACAAAACATTGTCCAAGCTTGTGTGACATCAGCCCTGTCAAGTGTCCATGATGCTGGGCCCTGAGGGAGGTGAAGGTTATGTGATCAAACTCCGTGGCCTACCGTGGTTTTGCTCAATTGAGGACGTACAAAACTTCCTCTCCCACTGCACAATTCATGGTGGGGTCACAGGTGTTCATTTCATTTACACTAGAGAAGGCGCAGAGTGGTGAGGCTTTTGCTGAACCTGAGACAGATTATTAAAACTGGCTCTGAAAAAAGACACGGGGAGCATGGGACACCGAAATATTGAGGTGTTCAAGTCACACAGAATGGAGATGGATTGGGTGTTGAAGCACAGTGGTCCAAACAGCGCTGACATTGCCAATGATGGCTTTGTGAGGCTTCAGGGACTCCTGTTTGGATGTACAAAGGAAGAAATTGTTCAGTTCGTCTCAGGGTTGGAAATTGTGCCAAATGGGATCACATTACCTGTGGACCCAGAGGCAAGATTACAGGGGAGGCCTTCGTGCAGTTTGCCTCACAGGAGTTAGCTGAGAAAGCTCTGGGGAAGCATAAGAAGAGAATAGGGCACAGGTATATTGAAGTGTTCAAGAGCAGTCAGGAGGAAGTAAGGTCATACTCAGATCCACCTCTGAAGTTCATGTCTGTGCAGAGGACTGGGCCTTATGACTGGCCTGGCACAGCCTGGAGGTACATTGGCATTGTGAAGCAGGCAGGCCTGGATAGGATGAGGTCTAGGTGCCTATAGTGCAGGCTATGGGGGCTACGAAGAATACAGTGGTCTCAGCAATGGCTATGGCTTCACCACTGACCTTTTTTGGGAGAGACCTCAGCTACTGTCTCTCAGGAATATATGACCACAGATATGGAGACAGCGAGTTCATAGCCCAGAGCACCACTGGCCACTGTGTCCACATGAGGGGGCTGCCCTACAAAGCAACAGAGAACGACATTTACTTCTCTCCACTCAACTCTGTAAGAGTTCATATTGAGATTGGCCTGATGGAAGAGTGATGGGGAAAGCTGATGTTGAGTTTACCACCCATGAAGAAGCGGTGGCAGCTATGTCGAAGGACAGGGCCAACATGCAACATAGATACATAGAACTTTTCCTGAACTCAACAACCGGGGCCAGCAATGGGGTTTATAGCAGTTAGGTGATGCAGGGCACGGGCGTTGCAGTGGCTCAGGCCACCTATAGTGGCTTGGAGAGCCAGTCAGTGAGTGGCTGTTATTGGGCTGGCTACAGCCGTCAGAACAATATGGGCAGATATGATTAGTATTGTAGAGACATTCAAGTTATTTCAATCAAAAAAAATTTTCACAGGCAGCCAATAAGCAGTGAAGAGCAGTTTTATAAGTCTAGAGGAAGCTGGGAGACCCACTTTGCGTGATGAGTTTGTGAAATCTGGATTAAAAAATTACCTCTTCAGTGTTTCTCATGCAAATTTTTCTTCTAGCATATAATATTGAATAAACTAAAACTGTTTTTTTTCTGCTTTTCTCAATTAACATTTTGGTAGTATACTTCAGAGTGATGTTAGCTGAGTTAAAGTAGTTTAAGTATGTTAAGTGTGGATCTTTTACAGCACACCTCAGTGAACACATTGGGGAGATGTGCTTTTTTGGAGAGCTCAAAGGTGGTAGAGCCCTGGTTCAAAAACAAGCATTTCTCATGTTCATTCTAGTTTATACTTTCATTTAAAATCTTTTAGGTTAAGTTTAAGCTTTTCAAAAGTTAGTTTTGAGAATTGAGACATAATACTAATACTGTAGGAATCGGCGAGGCCTCGACTTAAAGCTTTCTTTGTACTGTGATTTCCTTTTGGGTGTATTTTGCTAAGTGAAACTTGTTAAAATTTTTTGTTAACTAAATTTTTTTCTTAAAGACTTTTTCACCCCCCCCCCAAAAAAATACAGCCACATAAGCCAGGTGTGGTGGTGCATGCCTGTAGTCCCAGCACTTGGGAGACAGAGGCAGGCGGATCTCTGTGAGTTCAAGGCCTACCTGGTCTACATACTGAGTTGCAGGTCAGCTAGGGCTGCAGGGAGACCTTGTCTCAAAAAGACCAAACCAAACCAAACCAAACCAAACAAAAAAATCCTACAGCCATAAGTACCAAGTTGTGATCATTTTGATACACTGGGTGAAGCTCTGAGAGGCCTCCCTGCCTTTGGATCCTGTAACCACAATGTTATTTTCCTTCTAAACTTCTTTATGTAAATGTGGATTAGCAAATAGGATCAATCGAATATTTGTTGGATGTTGGTTGCTAGGCAAGATGCTTTTATGCTTGTCTATATTTAAGACCTTACAAAACCCAGCCTGGTCTACATAGTGAGTTCCAGGACAGCTGGGGCTACAGGGAGACCCTGTCTCAAAAAGACCAAAAAAAAAAACAAAAAAAAAAACAAAAAAAAAAACAAAAAAAAAAACAAAAAAAAAAACAAAAAAAAAAACAACATTTACAAAACCAAACTGAAAGCTCAAATAAAAAACAAAACCGCCACCACAAAAGCCCAAATAAAGAATTTATTATGCTTATGGTCAGTTGTTTCTAGTTGAAAGAGTAAACATTGCCAAATGGCACCAACACACTTTTGCTGCTTGAGATCAGTTTTGAAAGTTACATATCAAAATTGTGGCAACACTCAGTTCTCACCTTCTGTGTTCCAGGACAGGGTGAGGCAGTGGTGCAGCACCATTAGATGACAAGAGTAGCGTCTGCTACCCATGCAGATGGACACTCCGGAGTAGAGCAGAGCTACCAAAGGGAATGAAGACGGGAGAACAACCAACAACAGCCCAATTTTGTTTGGATTCGATCAGGTGTCGCTGAGTCAAGGTGCCCCATGTCAGATTAGTAGAGGAGGAGGATCTAATTATGTGCTCCTATACATAAAATTTTGTTGTTTAAGGAGCTAGAACCTGCAGAGATACAGCATGTGTCTTCCCATCTCTTATGGTTGATGAGCAGATATGTGGAAATAGAAAAACACTATCAGTAGTTTATGAATTCAAAATAGACTACGAACTAGATAGCTTTTCCTGTTAGCATGAGTCTTCAGTGTGCTATGTGGAAAATAAGAAGTGCCTTCTGCCTTGTAAGTAAAGGCAGAGAGAAGGCTAAGCTTTTGATCCTTTTCAAGGCAGCAACCATTGCCAAGGACAGGAAGGCCCTCAGCACCCTCTGGCTAGAAAGGCTTATGCAGGTACAATGATGGTTTTTTGTATGAACAAGTAGACATAAGCCACCAGCTAAATGAGGGAAGAGTTAGGCTATACACAGGTAGAACTCATTCAATAGACTTAAATGCCTTTTCATTATCCCTGTCAGGAACTGACTCATTTATTGTTATGGATAAGGATATGAACTTCAAACTTCAATGATTTACCTAAGATCAGTGTCTGGGTGGATTAGGCATAACATTGCCAAATAAAAGCTGGTGCCTGCATAAATTTCAAATACACACAAATAAATTTTTAGCATATATATATATACTAAATCTTATATAATCAAGTTATAAAGTATTCCTTGTTCACCTGAAACTCAAGATTAATTGAGTATTTTCTTATTTGTTAACACTAGTAACCCTGCTTGGTAAAATCAGGGGAGGATGTTGAAAACTAGGTGAAAGTGAAGGGACTAGGGAGTCATGGGAGATGGTTTGAGCAGCGCGTGGTGTGAGGAAAGTATTTAATCTGAGTGAGCATGAAGACGATCCCAGGGACTGGAACTGGAGAGATGGACTTGGAGGCTGCTGCAATCATCTAAGAACAAATGGAGTCCAGCAAGAATCCACTAGAGCTGGCTGGTTTAGGCTCAAGAGAGTAAATTGTGCTCTTCTCTTCCCAACTCTACATTCAGTGACCCGTTATGGTAGTTTTACATTTTAAAAAATGAGAATATTTACACCATAAAAATCGGCAAAAACTACAAATCAGAGCCTTCCCCCAACTTTCCTTCTCTTCTTGGCAAGTTGTTAAATACTTTTCCACATACCAGTGGGCCCAAGGAAAAACAGGGATATTTTGAAGGCAAAATTAATTCTATATGGAGATTAGTTATCATATGGATATTATTTGAGGGATGTAAGAAAAAGAAGTAACCAACATATTAAAAACTGTTGGACTAAAGATTGTTGTGGTCAAAGTATGCCACTTTTTCTATGCCTACCAACGAAGGCTTCCAGATGAATCAAGGGACAGTTAGAAGGTGCACAGGGTAGAACTTGTTTTAGAGACATAGATGCCCTTGGGTTCTCCCCAGTCAGCAATTGGATCATGCCTTTGTGGGTTAGCGCAGAGGTCAAGCACAGTTCTTTTGAGCCATGGGTCAAATTAAGACTGAAGATTAGTCACACAGTGAAGGAATTTGACACAAGATAGCAATGCAGAAGACTAGGGTTATCTGATGTGTCATGGTCTCTCCCTGATCAGGACTGATGATGAATGAAGAGGCTGACTTTGAGGCCCTAAATGAGATATGATAGCCAGAATCATGAAGGGTTTTGAGGATCCCTAAACAATTGTTCATTCTTGGACTGTGTTTAGCTCTCAACCACAGCAGAATGGCAAGGCATCAGTCGTCTTAATATTATTCTTGGCATTGTATTTGTGTTACATCCTCCTTCTGAATCATCTTTGCTTCAGCCCGGTTGCATATTTCTAGGATGTTGCTTTACAAAAACAAACAGTACCATTAAATCTAATTCCCTGACCGTTTCTGACAGCACCCGCTAATGACAGGAACCTGGTTGACACTTGACTGTATGATAGCACAACTTCAGAATATTGAGTAAAATATAAAATCCCCGATAGAAACTTGGTTCTGTTACATGACACAGTTTCCAAGCAGGTCACATGAGGTTCTATGATAAGATTCACCCCCTACCCCCAACTCTCCAACCCTCCAAATCATGTTGATCTTTCCAGAACTGTTTCAGTGCAGGGTAGAATGACAACTTGCCGACACTATGATGTCTCTATGCCCTAATTGTTGCGACTCAGATCCTGCCTGGATCGTCCTGGAAGCTTCTGCAGATCCATTTCCAGGAATAGTAAAGGTTCTCCTCTGATCTCCCTTATAGGGTCACGTACTGTTTGAATCTGTTTCCAGGCAGCATTGTGATGGCACAGGACCTGGAGCCAAACTGCCTAGATTCACATCTTTGTTCTGTAATTTACAAGCTATGATCCACTGGGGAGTTTTTAATACCAGGCTTCATTGTTCTTGATTGTAAAATGGAAGTAACAATTGTACCTCGCCTCACATGGCTGTTGGAACCTGTGTAAAGTGCTTAGCATCTACCTGGTTTATTCATAAAATTTGATGTATTTTTAAAAGCCATATAAAATATTAAGTTCCTTTGATTTTAAATGATAAGCAAGGATGAACATATTATTTTAAATACATATGCTTATTGCATGTCATTGGTAGTATATTTTTTTAAGAAAAGCCTAAATTGTAGAGCTAGAATGGCTTATATCTGTATATACAGCTCTGTTATGTATATTTTTTTCTTTCTTTCTTTTTGGTCTTTTTGAGACAGGGTCTCCCTGTAGCCCCAGCTGACCTGGAACTCGCTATATAGAACAGGCTTTCTCAAGACGCTTCAGTTTCCTGTACCTGGGGTTCCTGGGAGTTTGCAAATAAAATTTACCACCTGAGAGTAGTTGTGAAAATGAAGCCCTATCCATTAAGTGGTTATTAGAATATACTGTGTATATCAACAGTCAGTTGATGCTAACTATTGCTGTTTAGTTGTTACATTAGATGGAGGTAGAACAGAGGAAAAAGAGAAAAGGGGAACAAAAGAATCAAAGCTGACAGAGTAAGAATGGAAAGGTCAGCTAAAAGTCCAGACATGACCACCAAAAAAATAACGCTGATATCAGCCCCATGAGAAGCTGAGACAGGAGGATTGCAAGGCTTATTTAGGCTACAACGTCAATTCAAAGGTAGCCTAGGAAACTTAGTGAGACCCTGTCTCAAAATAAAAAGTGAAAAAAAAGGGGGACCGATGTCTTGGTGATAAAACACATTTATCTAGATTGAGGACTCTAGATTCAATATCAAAACAAAATGCTAATAGACTCAGATTTAATCTTGTTTATGAGTATTATATTTTATTCTTGTAGTTTTTGCACAAATAAAACATACTTAATGGCACAAAACTCAAAAATAGAAAAGGCATTCAATGAAAATAAGTCACATCGACCACGCCAAATGACTACAATGACTACTGGTTTCTCATGAGCTCTTCTAGAAGTGCTCCA